TCCCGCTGCCGGCGCCGCCAAGGCCAAGGGTGCCAAGGCCAACAAGGCCGTTGCCGCCCGCGCCAACCTGGCCCGCGAGATCCTCCGCAGGGAGGCCCTCCTCCGCAAGATCCTCAAGCGCCAGTCGGTCGAGGAGGATGAGGAGGAGGAGGAGGAGGAGGAGTGAGCGTCTCTCGCTCCCCTTCGAACCGGTGCAGTTTCTTTGTTTGATTTTTTGTATGAGAGAGACGGAGAAAGGGAGGGAGTAATTTTTCATGATACCATGACACGGCACACAGCACCCAGATCCTGTTTAGACGGATAAACAGGAAAGAAAAACGATACCCCCGGGGAGACGCCAAATCGGCGACCCCCTTCCGGGTTCGTGGTTGTCTGTGCGCAGGGAATGGCCATCCGCTTGGCCGGACCGTGGAGAAGCCACACAGGGTTAATAAGACGCGGCCACAAAGAGCGTCGGGCGCGTGCCAGTCACCGCAGCCCTTGGATTTGGGAATGCCCCTTTCCGATTATACGAGACCTTTGCGGTTGTTGAGTCCCCATGGCTGGGAAGCATAATACCCCTTTGGAAGACAGGCCCAGCACAGTGGGATTTTCCATATTTGTAACATTAGAGTATAGGATGAATGAATGGTTGGTGATCGACTTCTTTTCCTTGTTCTTTGTGATATGTCAAGCGTAACCGGCCATCAAACAAAACCATATGCAGTTGGTTCGTCCCAAATCAACCTTTCTTTTCGCGGTAAACAGATGAGACTTGGAGATGGCCCCTTCGAACGGCCACTTTACAATTCTCAGACGTTTTGATTTATCGGATGAACCCGCCCTGCTGGTCAAGTGGCGGACTATGCTGACAAACAACAGATATCTCGGTCATGTCCATCCGAACCCTGAGCCTTAAGCCAGGTGGGACGGGCGGCTTGCATGTCCACCACTGCTTGTGCTGTCGACAGAATCAGCAACCCCTCGACCCCATCGTCGAGCGAGTCGTGCGTGTCGGCCCATATCCCACGCCTCTGGACCCTTGCCCTCAACCACTTTCCAAGGGCAAGATGGCCGAGTTGGTTATGGCGTAGGATTAAGGTGATATCACAGTCTTCCTATGGAGAAATCCGCGTGGGTTCAAGTCCCACTCTTGTCAATGTTGCTTTTTTGCTGGGCTGCCACCTTAAAGGACGTTCGATGCTCCCGTAGCGTGACATGCACAGATGAGATGCCAGATGGCACTGTTGCTAGATTAAAATAAGGCTCTGCCATCCCGCCTTTTATGTATATTTATTTTTCAATTCAAGCGTCACTTCGGATGGTAACTGGACGTGGACGCCAGGTCGTCGGATTTAGCGCCAGGGGCAACCAATAAAAAAAAAACCTAACGTCCAGCCTTTAAGACGTAACCCAGACGACAACGACAAGATTCGAACTTGTGCGGCCGAAGCCATTAGATCGCTTAGAAACCGCTATAAACGCGGCCTCCTGGTTCGAGTCTAACCCATTAACCACTCTGGCACGTTGCCTGATGCCCATTGGATAGCGTCAGGGGCTCGCTGGTGTGTGCATGAGCGATGCTTCCCCGCAGCTTTGGTCCATGGAGTCGAGCGGGGCGCGTTTCTTTTTTTTTTTTTTTTTTTTTTTAGTCGGGCCGGCCTCCCAAGCCTTTCACCCTCCGGTGCCACAACATCCGCAACTTGATGCCGGCCGCGGGTTTGAAGAGTCGTGCCTGGATAATGAACATGACGTCAATTTTATGGCACTGCCTTTCCGGGCCACGCCATATCTAAGGCGTGCGAGCACACTGGGAGGGATACGTGCACATACATCTCCATGCCTCTAATGCATCGCGACTCCTCAGCACTGCGTCCGCTCCACTACACCTATCTCCAAGCCAGACCGGCCAAGCAGCCCGCCATGCCAAGCGACTTCGACAAGCAGGAGTACTGGCACGACCGCTTCTCCTCCGAGACCGAGTTCGAGTGGCTCGTCCCGTCGGCAACACTCATGGAAGTGATGGGGCCCCACCTCGCTCGCCTCCCCGACACGGCCCGGATCCTGCACCTGGGGTCCGGGACGAGCGACCTGCAGAACCACCTGCGGCGGCGCGGCTTCCTGGACGTCACCAACGTCGACTACGAGCCGCTGGCCATCGAGCGCGGGAGGCGGCTCGAGGCGCGCGCGTTCGACGGCGACATAAGGACTCGCTACCTGGTGGCCGACGTCACCCGCCCGGACCTCGCTGCCCAGCTACTACGCGGCGGCGGCGACGACGATAACGCCACCTCTCGCCCATTCGACCTAGTCGTCGACAAGAGCACCGCCGACGCCGTCTCGTGCGGCGGCGACGAGGCGATGCTGGCGATGCTGGCTGGCGTCAGGGCATGCATGGCCGACTCGAGCTGCTGGATCTCGCTCAGCTACTCGGCCACGCGCTACCTCCGCGACGGGCTCCCGTTCCACGTCGAGGTCATGGAAAGGTTGCCAACGCCCAAGCTGAAGGAGAGCGACCCGGACATTTTTCACTGGGTCTACCTGCTTAGTCCACTGAGCGGCGCGGATGTTTCCTCACGCTTGAGTTGATGTCCGAAGCACGGATGCTTGTTGGTATCTGATCAAAAAAAAAAAAAAAATAATAGGTACATAGGTAATCGACTACATCCTTGCAACGAGCAAGTTGGAGGCGACTGTCGTGCCATGCTTCCCGCACACAGCCCGACTAAGTAGCAGGTACCTAGTACAAATAAAAAGTAAAGCCGAGATCGAGTGATTAAAATCGCCATCGTTAATCCCAACCTCCACCATCAACGCAGCCTCGGCTTGCCCCCAAGCTGGCGCCAGTACTCCGTCATCAGCTTCTTCACGTCCTCATTCAGGAGTTCGGCCGAGACCTCGGTGGTGCCGGCGTATCCACAGTACTCAACCTCGATGGCCAGCTCCCACTTGCCTTTACCCCTGCCCGTGCCCCTCCTCACGAGCGGCGGGTACCAGAGCGCAAAGACGGTCGACTCGTGGCCGCTGCCATCCAGGGTCGCCTCGCGGCCTCCTGGGGAGACGCTGGCCCAGTACTCGAGCAGCATGTCGTGCTGGTCGCGGTGCAGCGCCTCCTCGGCCTCCCACGAGTTGGCGCGGCCGAGGTCCTTGTCCCAGAGTACCAGCATCTCCACCTGGTCGTCCTCCTCGTCGTGCACCCGGACACGGTGGTTGAGAATCTGCACCACGCCGCCCATGTCGCGCGGCTCCTGCGGCGTGCCGTCGGCGTTGCATGGGACCCGAGCCTTGTCTAGCCACGAGGCGTAGAGCTGCCGGCGCCGGCTGCTGGGGCCCGGGCGAGCCGGGGCTGGGGCTGGGGCCGGAGGTGGGGACGGGGACGGGTTTCGCTGCTGGTCCTTGTCCTTGTCGTCGCTGGATGAGTCTTGCTTCGCTGAAGCCGCTTTTCTGGTGTTAGCCTGGAGATACAATTACACTCTTGAGGGATTTGTGACAGAAGAACAAAACGAATTGGCGGATTTTGGGGCAAAAAGGTTAATGAGGAGATCCAAGAAGATAGCGAGCTAACCTTGACCAAGCGTTCCAGCATCCTGGTCGCCGCCGTCGCCGCCGTCGCGGGGAGGAAGTCCGCGCACGAGCTTTTTCTTCGGCATGGTGGGGGATGTCTTTGTGTGTTGATCACAGCCCAGTCTTTCTGTTTTTGCTTCGTTGGGATGATTGGTGAAGAAGGATGAGATCAAGATGCTGCGCCTGGACGGAAAGAAGGGCCAGCTTGACGCTTATTATACAGGTCGCTCGGAGGACATGCGCACGCAAACAAGCAAAGGTAGCCAACACATGGAAACTGCCGGACGATGTGAAGACGCTGCTGGAAACACCCTGCCGTAAAGCGTCTGTGTTTGATCCAGAACAACCGCATCTCCGGCCTGAATACAGGAGGCAGCGCCAGACGCAAACAGCAACACGGAGATGGTGTGGCGGTCACCTAGAAGAAAACCAAACATAGGGAGTCGACTGTCGCCCACTGACGCGGCAAGCCGCATATGTTTCCCTCTTTTGGCTTGCTAAGAGACTGGCGCCATGACCGTGATTTGAGCCCGCGTGTATTTTCCAGTCCATCCCTTCCGCCGCGCCACATCTCGGTGTCGTTCTATACGTGCCGCTTCGTGACGACGCCTTTCTTCTTCTCCCTGTTAACTCGCTTACTCATTACGCGCGACACCTAGACGTCTCAAGACCTTTGATGCTTGTTCAGACGGACTGGTCGTAGCTGTTAGACCAAGAGGGCGCGACCCATCCCATCCCCGATGACCAAGCGCCCCGGCCCCGGACGATACCCGATGATGATAGAGTCGTATAGTGTAGTTGGTTATCATATCAGGTTCTGGTTCAAGGATCGTCTCCTGATGACCCGGGTTCGAATCCCAGTATGACCTTTTGCTACGGCTGCCGGAGGCCACGGTGGGAGCACCTTTCCCCTTCTCTCCCTTCTTTTCCCACCTCTCTGCCGTTTTACATACACAGGAGGTAACAGTGCATGTTACGAGACTAGGAGACGAGTTTGGGTAAAGCCCGCACATCCGACAACGTTTTGCCCTGCCCGGCTTGTTATTCTCGAATATCCCCTTGCCCTGTCTATGACATGTGGGTGAAAACTTTGCTTGGGGCTGACGAGGCCGGCATGGACGGGACTACACCTTTTTGGCCGTTAAAACCACTTACATGTTGAAGCTCTCGCGGATCTTAGCCGGGGCTACCAGAGCACAAGAGGTTAATAAGAACCCCTGCGCAACATCATTTACGCAGGCAGGATGGCCGAGCGCTCTGAGGCGCTAGCTTCGGGATGGCCTTGCGATGAGACGTTCGCCCCTCCGAGGGCTGTGCTTGTTCTGCTACTCACGCAAGTGGCGTGGGTTTGAATCCCACTCCTGTCATATTGGCCCTGCTTTTTTTTTTTTTTTTGCTGGAAACAAGCGGTCGACGTGGGAACGAACGTTTTCATATGTGTGGTACAAAGGCTATTGCTTGTCGCAAACGGCTTCCGTTTTGCTTTTGGCAAAAGAGTGGGTGGATAGCAGGAAATGGCAAATTAACGATAATCAAATTATGCTTATAAACGGGTGACAAGCAAAAAGAAGCAAAAAGGAAGACAAGCTGTTGTGACGACCTCTCTTATGCACGCCCCAGGCGGGATTCGAACCCGCAGCCTTGGGATTATATAGAAGATATAAAAGTCCCACGCTCTGACCAGTTGCGCTACCAGGGCTGTTGTTTTACGACCAAGTCATGTGTAGCTTTTATTCTACGTTGGCCGCCGAGTGTGGGGAATTGGACATTGTTCAGCACATTTGGGCTTTGGGCGCCTGACTGGAATGCGCTTCCAAAAATAACATGGTAGCCCTCGACGGGGATGACGGAACTGTTGCATTGCTCCCTTGTGGAGGGGTAATGCCTAGTAAGCTGGTAAGTGCAGCGTAGCTCCGCTGGGCAAAGGTCATCCTGTCGGAGGACCGTCTTCTCGGCAAGTCGCGCCCGGCTGGTGATTGATTTCCCAGAAGTCAGCTTCTTGCAAGAGGGTGTTTTACACGCTCCATGTTTGGGCGATGAGTGGCAGACGCGCTTGCGCCGGGGCATCTTGGCATGATTCCGTCTCGCCCGCCAGCTTGGCTGATGACGCACGCTGGTGGGCTGAAGCTGCCATGTCAAGCCCACCAGGCCCAAACCGAGGGACCACGAATGGTGGTCAACAAAAAGACTTGACATCTCTCACCCTATTTTGCGCGAGTCCCTTGTTCATTTTGATATATCGACACTTGTCAGGATCCTTGCCAGGACCGACTCGCGCGGGAGTGTGACTTTTTGCCGTCAGCTTTCAATCGCTCTGTGCGAATATGCCGCAGTCGCTTGACATCCAGCTTCGGAACGAGTCGAACTCCGGTGATATCTTTGCTTATATCGCTGGGCTTGCGCTGCAGAAGAACTCGGCCAGGGTTCTTCTCAAGTCAGATGGCAGAGGGCTTTACTACCCCGAGAATCCACCCAAGATCCTGAGTCCTTTGGCCGAGGACTGTGCCATCCCTCTGGGACCGCCGGGAAATGTGGTGACGGTTCACATTCCCCAAATGGCCGGCGGGCGCATCTGGTTCAGCCGTGGTGGGAAGCTCAAGTTCCTCCTGAATCCCAGCCCGGCCGGAGCGGCCCTCGTCGAGCCATCGGTGCTGAACCCCTCGGATCCGAATGCGAACGTCGACTTTGCTTTCGCCGAGTTCACCCTCAACAACGACCAACTGTTCGCCAACATCAGCTACGTCGATTTCGTGCCTCGGCTGCCCATCGCCCTGGCGCTCGAGGAGCCTGGCGGCGGGCTTCAGCAGGTGGCGGGCATGGCTAGCGATGGGCTCGAGCAGGTTTGCGCAGGACTGCGCGCCCAGGCTGAAAAGGACAAGATGCCGTGGGACAAGCTGATAGTGCAAAAGAGAGGGCAGCCGCCGCTCCGTGCCCTAAGTCCGATGCACGGAAGGGGAGTGGGTGCCAGGTTTGACGGCTACTTTGAGCCCCTCGTGGAGGAAGTGTGGCGCAAGTACCACTGCAACCATGGCAGATGCAGCCTGAAGATCGACACGCAGGCGGCGCCCGGGGTGCTACCCGGCGCCATCGAGGCGACGAACGAGTTGGTCATCGGAGGCGAGAAATTCGACAAGCCGACAACGGCCGACATCCTAGGTTGCAACAGCGGGCCGTTTGCCACAGGGCCGTCGGCCAAGCGGAACGCCATAATCCCACGCCTTGCTGCTGCTTTCTCGCGCGGCTCCATCATCGACGCCGAGGAGCACCCGTCACACCCGTCCACCTTCTATCAGCAAGGCCCAGCCAACCACTACTCCAGGATCGTGCACGAGGTGACGCTGGATGGCAAAGGGTACGGCTTTGCATACGACGATGTCCAGCCCAGCGGCGGGGATGATCAGTCTGGTAAAGTGAACGCGGGCAATCCCAAGGCTTTCATTGTCAGTGTTGGCGGATTTGCAAGATAGCGGAAGGCATTGATGTGATGTCGACTGGCGGGCCTGTGCTCGTGTTGAATAGGTAGAGCACAAAAGAACCAGGATCGCGGGCAGGGTGCGAGTATAAGAGGTACGCGTTTTCCCTGGGCGGAGGGCTGCCTTTGTGCGGCTTAGTGTGCAACAAGGCAAAGGAGAAGAAGCAGGTTGTTGATGCCAGAGATGCCGTTTGTTCTGACGTAGTTTGCACGCGCCGTGGAAACCAGAACAAGGGAGGCGCGTGTATTGGCTTGGGTAGGTGTAGTGTCTGTTGACCTCACTATCGAGAGATGGGTAGCACATAAAACTTCATCTGCATCCGTATTAAATTAGCGGGATCAACAGTCAACGAGATGGACGCGAGAAGACGGCCAGGAGCTTCGGTCCTGCCAGCGCCTTCCCGTTATCAGACAGCCCTGTTGGGACAAGCACTGGCGCCAGCGAGTGGGGCGGCAGCTCACAGCCCGGCTGTCCAGCCAAATTGAGGGCGGCAAGGGTCTGGCTCCAGCGCCGGTGCTGGAGCAGCCGGGCGGGGATTGACGCTGGCCGAACCGCCAACACAATTTTTCAAATCAATGCCTTGACTGAATCAATCGCGTTGCCACGAGCCCTCCCCAACCCAATGCAACAAACGCCCCAAAGAACTCCATCAGCTCTCGTCCTTCCATAGCACGCCCACCTCATCCGTCCAGCCATCGCCGCACCGCCGGTTCAGCACGACCGTCTCCAGCCCATTCTCAGCACCTGTTGGCCCGCCTCTGACCGCCAGTTTTCGCCAGTGGCCGAGACCTGACGCCGCAAAAACCCCACACCCCCGGAGCCCGACTGCAACGGCCATCTTCAGGTTTTCCCCGCCGGTGGGCCATGGTGCTCGCCCGAACCCTTCCATCACCGGAGAACGGGCGCACGACCACAGACTGCCGGCGTAGGACGACTGCTCCGCCTCCTGCCCACGATGGCCTCCATCCTGACCCCTCGGCAGGCCGACGAGCTGTGAGTTGCGGGTCCCCTCCCATGCTTGCCCTGCCCTGCCTTACCCTGCGCGCGAGCCGCCTCCAGTTGTTGAGGACCGTCCCTAACAGTCACATCCACCGCCGCACCGCAGACACAAGGCCATCGTAGCGTACCTATCGGCAAACAACCTGTCCAACACGTCGAATGCGCTCCGTGAAGAGCTCAATCTCCCGGAGGAGGTCTTCGATGCCGCCACCCAGAAGAAGTACGAGGGCCTGATAGAGAAGAAATGGACGAGCGTTGTCCGCCTCCAGAAGAAGGCATGTAGTGCCCGCCGCATTTCCCATACAGCCCTCTTGCTCCAACAAAGCATCCTGCTATCGACGGGCCCTGGACTGACCCCATCTTTTGCCCTCACCGCGCAGATCATGGATCTAGAGTCACGGAATAGCGCCCTACAGAGCGAGCTCGACAACGCGACGCCACTTTCCCTAGCCAAGAGAAACCAGGACCCAGCATCATGGCTTCCCGCCCCGAGGCCGCGCTACTCGTTGGAGTCACACCAAAATACCATCAACTGTATCGCGTTTCACCCTGTCTACTCTTCCATCGCCTCCGGTTCCGATGACTGCACGATCAAAGTATGGGATTGGGAGCTGGGAGAGCTCGAGCGGACCATCAAGGGCCACACCAGGCCGGTTTTGGACGTCGATTTCGGTGGCCCTAGAGGTGGTATTCTGCTAGCGTCATGCAGCTCCGACTTGAGCATCAAGCTCTGGGACCCGTCCAACGATTATAAAAACATTCGCACACTGCCGGGACACGACCACAGCGTCAGCGCCATTCGCTTTATGCCCTCGGGCGCCGCCGCGATGTCGGGCAATCTGCTGGTGAGTGCGAGCAGAGACATGACTCTTAAGATATGGGACGTCACGACCGGCTTCTGCCTCAAGACGATACGCGGCCACACAGCATGGATCCGCGACGTCTGCCCATCCTTCGACGGCCGCTACCTTCTTTCCACGGGCGACGACTCGTCATTGCGCCTCTGGGACATATCGGTCTCCAACCCGGAGAACAAGCTCACAATGACGGGGCACGACCATTACGTCGAGTGCTGTGCCTTGGCACCGCCAACCGCTTATCCATACCTAGCCCGGCTGGCTGGCTTGAAAAAGCCGCCCCCGGCCACTAGTTCGGCCGAGTTCATGGCGAGCGGCTCTCGAGACAAAACCATCAAGCTTTGGGATTCGCGCGGATCGTGCCTCAAGACATTGATCGGACACGACAACTGGGTTCGCGCTCTCGTCTTCCATCCCGGCGGCAAATACCTCTTCTCCGTCTCAGACGACAAGTCGCTGCGCTGCTGGGATCTCGACCAGGATGGCAAGTGCGTCAAGACGATCGGCGGCGACGTGCACGAGCGGTTCGTCACTTGTTTGAGGTGGGCTCCTGGCATCGTCACGGACGCACCCGCGAAAGACGGGGATGCAGGCCAGTCGAACGGCACTCCGCGGAAAAAGACAGAGGCTGCTCCTGAGGTGCGCATCCGGTGCGTCGTTGCCACAGGAAGCGTGGATATGAAGCTACGCATCTTTGCGAACTGAGGCTTCTCTCGCACACTCGGACTGAAGCCTACACTCTGCTGGGGTGTGGCATGCGTGCCATGGAGCCAATCGACGGAGCGACGGACCCGATGTCTCGCTGAACTCTCTGGCCGGCCTTCGCCCAGGTCTCATGTCGCGGGGCCTTTTGGCGGGACTGGCGGGGGTGGATGATGCTGTCAAAGATGGCAGCGCAGACAAGACGAGGCTTGCGTTGAGAATAATCCTGACAACAAATGGCTTTGGAGTGTGTTCAGCTCCCCGATCCTATCTGCGGATTCAGTTTATAGGGCTTCTTGGTTTGGCCTACTCGACTGGATTGGAGCTGGGAGGGAT